ATCGGGTTTGGCCCAACTAAGAGTAAAGGCTTTGTAAGTTGAAGTCAGGCCTCATCAAAACTCTTGAGCACGGGTTCTTTCTCGTTCCCACCCCAAGCTTTGTGGCCCATTTCAATTTTTTTCCCATAAAATAACACATGCTCTCAAGTTAAAAAAAATTAATAAATGTTACACCAAAAATATTTAACATAAATGATATTTATTATATTTTCAAATTAAAATATAGGAATAATGCCTTATTTCTCAATCACATGCCCTTCGAATTTTTTTAATTTAAAAACTGGATGAATAAATTTATTTAATAAATTTAACACACTTTTTTTAAAATTAATTCGAAATTGAATGAAAATTTTGGAGCATAAGAAAAGATAAGGGAAGATTGATTAATTTTATGAACTCTATATTTTATTAGGGGCACATTGTTGTAATAACAAGGAAGGGTACATAACTTGAAACGAGGACAAACAGAGACGTCGTCCTCATAGTTATTCGTCTCCGAAGCTCCACGAGCAGAGCTCAGTGCTGTGAAATGCTTATATATCACTCTTGAGAGGAATTGTGACATTAAACTCATTGTCAGCAGCAATCTGCCAGTTCCTGTGTCCGCCAAACCCAAACGGATATTTCTTCTGCTTGTTGGGATAAAACAGACCAAAATGTTTCTCCAGTTCTGGGTTCTTTTGGTTCTCATCGAACATTGCAAAAATATACGTCTCTGTAGGACCAGGCCTCATAGGAGTTCCTTTGTTCACATGGCGAATCAAATTGTCCAGGTAAGTCTTGGCATTATCGTACGTAGCCCCAAACGCTCCGTCAGAAGGCCACCCACTCTCCGACACGACCACCTTCACATACCCAATCCTCGTACTATCCAGAGCCGCATGAACCGAGTCCAACATGGCATCGAAGAGATTCTGGTATCCTCTCGAACCATCCCAGACCACCACGTTTGGAGAAGTGAAGAGAGCATAAGGCAGAGATATGTCGCCAGGGTTGCCGGAATAGCTGAAGTAAGGGTATACATTAACGAACAATGGTGCGTTTGCGTAGACCAAGTAGCCGATGATAGGGTCCAAGTATGATCTGACGTCGTTTCGGAAGCTACCTTTGGACGGAGGGTATGAGGTCCCAATAAGGGTCATGTCAATGGCGGTTGAGACCTTGATTTGGTCGTGAAGGCCTCTGCCCCTTATGGCTTGGTACACGTTCTGGATGGCCGGAAGGACGTACTGGGCGGCCCAAGAGGAGCCGCCGACGGGGCTGACTTCGTTGCCGACGGCGATGTATTTGATGTTGACGGAGGGGTAGTAGTTGAAGACGTAGCGTTGAGCCCATTGCTCGGCGTTGGCGCGGCTAGCGGCTAGGCTTTGGAGGTCGCTGTTTGCGACGCCGAGCATGAGCTCGATGCCGGAGTTTCGGAGGGCTTCAAGAGCTTCCTGGTTGGGATCGTACAGTCGCATTCTCCTGATGTTGTTGGCTCTGTAAAGATCCACCACCTCGCGTTTGGATGGCAGATTGTTGCCCATCATGCCATAGCAAACACCGATCTGAGCATCTGCAAATCCCGCAAAAGTTTGTTTATGTAAAAGTCATCATCGGCAAAATTTTGGTTTTAATGAAAGAAAGTTGACTTCTGCTTCAAAGAAAAAGAAAATCCACTGTGCTGATTATCTCCCAGAATGGGAGCTATGTGGAGATATACTTTTACCTCTAAATCAAGGTAATTTCACGAGTTGATAATATATGAACAAATGTCTGTCAAAGAAAAGATTTTTAAGTAGATCCAGGGCACATATATGTCAAATAAACATAAAAATTGCCTTTCATATTTTGGTTCAAATAGAGAATTGATTTGTCAAAAGTAAGAAAAATCCCAGTACAGTGTCTCCTTGGCAAAGGTTCTCGGTTATTAGCTGACAAATACAAGTTTTTATGGCTGAATATACAATTCATTATTGAGTGAATAAAAGAGGGAGATGGATGGATCACCTGCGATGCGAAGAGTTGCAGTGAACAGCGCCAACAGGAGAAGCAGAGAAGGCAATGAGGCCCTCTTGCCAGTTTCGGAGAAAGAAGCCATAATGTCCAAAGATATCAGAAGTATTCACAATGGCTCTGATCTCTCTTGATCTCGCTCTTCTTATAGAGAACGCATCCGAGAGCTTATTATTAATGGCCAGTGGCTATTTTCACATTAATGTGCAATAATATAGCAGTCTGTTTACCAATTCAACGTGCGAAGTCATGTCTCTCACTTCAATTACTTTCAAAATATCTTATCCTTTTCTTGTTTGATTTCAATTGGTGAGTTGTCGGGGTAGATATCATGTCTCACTCGAGATGTTATGCTTTCCGCCTCTTCATTATGAATCCTACTATGTCCTATATCCTATTGACGTGGCCATAAATCTAATAAACTCATAAATACTTTAAATTAATTAGTTCCAAGTAAACGATACAAATGAATGCATATTCTACATATAAAATTAGCTAGAGATCGGTACTGACAGTCTCTTCAAATTATTTCAAATCAAGATTGAACTGCTCCGTTTTTCTGCCTCTTTTTTTCACTTTCTACGACCCCTAACGCTAAGGTTTGATGTCCTTTCTTTGACTTCAAAATGATTAGATTAAGGAACATCCATAAATTGGGGTTTTCTAAATGATTAATATATATATATATATATATATGAATGAATTGGAATTTGATAAGAACTCGTCATTCTTACTTCTGGGATATTCCAGGAACTTATTATAGTCTAATGGATACCATGCGATCAATTGGATTCACTCATATTCAGTTCTATTTTTTCACTTTTTTTTTTATAAAATATATTTGTTCACAGTTAACTTTTGAAGTCTTGTATAAAATCTAATACGAAAACCAAAAGGAAAAAAAACAGGACTATTGTTTTTTTTTTTTTTAATATTGAATGATCTTTCAAAGATGCATCAGTGACTTGATTTATTTTAACAACGCGCTGATGTTAATGAAAACGACGTTAGATTAATGGCTGGTGAAGAATGAAGAATAATAAGGAGTTGGAGTGCGTACGTGTGAGGTCAATGGAGGCTCCCATAACCAAATGAATGGAAAAGATATAACTTGAAAACCTGGGAACCTCCTCTTAATCGATAATATATACCACAATTTTCTTGTCCATTTTCAAATTTTGCCCTCAATATATATACTTGCCACCCAGTTTGAGGGAACCAGTTGTAGTGCTCATCCATTTGATGAGTACCATAAGGTAATCAGTTTGGGTAGTTTAGATTTGATTTCTTTTTAATTTCTATTTATTCAAAATAATTATTTTAATATGTATAGAATTTAAAATAGTGATGATCTCTTGACTATCATTCTTTCAAAAAAAAATAGTTTTTTCTATTTAAAAATAAATAATTAAAGATTTTAAATCTGGACCTTTCAAATGAGATAAGACCATTCAGATCTAATGAGCTTATGATACTCATCAAAGGGATGAGCACCGAAACTGGTTCCCCAGTTTGAGTGTTTTGACTAGCCACTCAAATTCAAGCTTTTTAGCTCATTCTTCAACTTGATGCAGCCACTTGGCGATGGCTGTCCCCCGTACATGCACAAGTTAGTCAATATTTTAATTTGTAAATCAAAGTATGATAGATATGCAAGATATCTAATCGATCCATGCATCCAGACATAATTAAGAATTTAAGATATATAATTTGGCAGAAATAGAAAAAGAGATGCAATTTGTTTTTCCGCTATAAATTTACAGTTGCCAACTGTGATATATAATTAATCTGAGTCAATTAATGTTAAAATAACTCTTTTTATGTATAAATTTGCACGGTTTTTATAATGGATCTTTTATGAACTTATGAGGGATTGAATTAATAGTACCTGTACGCGAGCCAGTCAAATACATAAAATTTATTAAAAAATTGACAAACAAATTTATGGAAGTCTATCCAAAACCATGAAAGGGACTCGAGCGAAGTTTCAAATCTGATTGGTAAGACGGACCAAACTTGTAAGTCCTATGGACTGAAACAACTTAGGGCTGCTTTTGTTTTTGATAATTCATTGTGGGGCTCTCATAATAAAACGACACCATCATGATATATAAAAATACAATGTGCGCATTAATTATATCAGTCCATAGCTATCTATTTTGGGAAGGGGGGAAAAAAATTAGGTTTTGGACTTTGGGTGCAATGAACTGCCTTATAATGGAGTAAACGCATGCTTCCTACTTTTTTCATGTATACACCACTTGGCAACGTCACTTGTTTATATTTTTCATTTCTTTTAATTTTTTTAATGTTGAGGTCAATGAATTGCATCATGAGTTTAATTTGTTAACTAATAAAGCCACCTCAAAACAAATACTTGTAAGTTTATATGCACAAACTGAAAAAGAAATTAATACTTCCTCCAGTGTCCTCATTATAAATCAGTTGTAGAGGAATAGTTTGATTCAAAATATAAAGCACTTAAAGAGTAAATAATACTTATTCGCCAATTTTGTTTCTCTATTGATTGTTAAATGTAATTTCTTACATTTTCCCCTCTCGTTCACAGCATCATTTAACATGGGTAAAATTATTAAAAAAAATTAAGTTGGAACACATTTAATGACTCTAATAAAGTCGAGCTCGTATGTGAAAATTTTAAAAAATAAATAAAAAATTATAGAAGAGCCACCGTGTCGTGTTCATAATTTATAGATAAATAAGGTCAATTGTGATTATTATTATTATTAGTTTCATTGATTATATTCGCGCTTTATGATTAAATATTTCCATAATAGTGAGGTTAGAGGCTTATGTAAAAGCATCAGCCGCCGGCGGCGTCATTTAAATATATACAATTGCCGTCACAATATATAAACCATATAATTAATTTGCGAGGACGCCGAGCCAGTTGGCACACGTGCCTTCGTGTTAAAAATCGTCCGATCTGCTAACAAAGGTTTTTCTAATTAGAAATAATCAATTACAAATTTTACAAAATATAACATATCCATATTAAAGGAAAAATAAAAGGACAAAGTTATTTTCGTGGAAAAAAATAAATAAAGGAGACAAGACAAGTAGATCATTGTAGTCCACATGTGGACAACTTGGAAAAATAAGAATAAATAGTGTTTTGTCACATACATTGACGCGGTCTGAACCTTCCTACTCTCAATCAATCTTATCCTACTATCATAAAGATGGAACTGCCTTGTAACGACGTTTCCCAGAAAGCGATGCCCATAACACACACACACGTGTGTGTGTCTATATATATATATATATATATATATATATATGCGCGCGCGCGTCTAGCTGCAGGGACTCACTAAGATCAGCTTTTAAGTTTAGATGGTACTTAAAAAATACTTATAGATCATCAACTAACAAAATCCTTATATTAGTAACGGAATTTGAATTTATAATTTTATAAATTATAAATCGACTACCTCTTAATTAGACTAACTCTTCTTGGTTTTTACCAACCAAATAATTATTAAAGCATTTTCTAATTTACACAAGTCCTATCTCATCCGATTAGCCACATCAACTTGAAATATAAAGCCCAAATACAATTTTGGCCCTTTTATTTGATTTTGGGCTTTCTTTTGCATTCATTTGCCCATCAATACAATAGTACCTCGATGCCGTTATTTAAGGCCAGTATCAACAATTTCTTTGCTCAAGTAGTCGGAACAAAGCTCCGGTGAACTGGGTGGGCAACAAAAAAAAACACGCCTCTGCCTCATCACATCAACATTTACCAGTGACAATGAAATGATGCATGGCCAGAGAATGAGTCATATTCTTATTTCCTATGTACTTCCATTCACACGCATATTCATAAACATTTATTCTTTCATAGCCAATCAATTCCTTATGAAACTATAGGGATTAAAACCAAACTTCAATTATAAACTATCTAGAAACAGGAATGCTGATCATCTCTGGATCTCTCTAACTCAAGCGATCATCGGTGCCCTCGCCGTGTAAAAGAGGGATTCTGCGTGGATTCGTATATTAAAGACATTCAAACGGCAGACACTTCATTTTTATTCGCATTCGAAATTACACATGTGGGAGTATTTGTCATGTATCAATACTCAAAACCTTATTCATTAACTACTATCACTCTTAAGGAAACGTTATGTTATACTCCTCTTACCCTAAATATAATAACTATTTTATAGTGTAAAATGAGTCTTTTTATTTAGGAAGAGTATATTATATGTGCATCAATTTTAGAGCTCTTTTACGCCCCAAAACCAAAGGGGTACTTCTTCTGCATGCTGGGATGAAACAGTCCAAAATGTTTCTCCAGTTCTGGGTTCTTCTGGTTCTCATCGAACATTGCAAAAACATATGTCTCTATAGGTCCAGGCCTCATCGGAGTGCCTCTGTTAACATGTCGAATCAGATTGTCCAGGTACGTCCTCGCATTATCGTACGTTGCGGCAAACGCCCCATCAGAAGGCCACCCACTCTCCGACACGACCACCTTCACATACCCAATCTTCGTACTATCCAGAGCTGCGTGAACCGAGTCCAACAGGGCATCGAACAGATTCTGGTACCCCCTCGAACCGTCCTGTACCACCACGTTTGGAGCAGTGAACAGAGCATATTGCTGAGATATGTCACGAGGGTTATCGGCATAGCTGAAGTAAGGATATACATTAGCCAACAATGGTGCATTTGCATAGACCAAGTAGCCTATGATAGGGTCCAGGTATGATCGGACGTCGTTCCGGAAGCTACCTTTGGATGGAGGGTACGAGGTCCCTACGAGGGTCGTGTCAATGGCGGTTGAGACCTTGATTTGGTCCTGAAGGCCTCTCGCCCTTATGGCTTGGTACACGTTCTGGACCGCGCGAAGGACGTACGGCGAATACTCTCTGTTGCGTCCGACGGGGTTCACTTCGTTGCCGACGGCGATGTATTTGATGTTGACGGAGGGGTAGTAGTTGAGAACATTGCGTTGAACCCATTGGCCGGCGGCGTCGGCGTTGTTGGCTAGGCTCTGAAGGTCGCCGTTGGGGACGCCGAGCATGAGCTCGATGCCGGAGTTTCTGAGAGCTTCAAGAGCTGCTTGGTTGGGATCGTACAGTCTCATTCGCTTGATGTTGTTGGCTCTGTAAAGATTCACAACTTCGCGTGGGGATGGCAGATTGTTGCCCATCATGCCATAGCAAACACCGATCTGAGCATCTGCTTGACGTAGAATTAAGTTTGTGTGTGTTAAATTTGTAATCCATATGGGGAATAATGATTTATTTAAGAAAAGTTGATTTCGTCTGTGTCGGCCGGCATTTTTTAACTGCGAACCTTTGGAGTGGGAAAAAACGTTTTGATTTGAAAGATAATTATATTAAGTTGATGGCTTTTATAATTATTCCGTTTCGAAGGAAAGAGAATGTAGAGTGGTGCTTCTATCCTGGAAATAGAGTACTTTTTAAACAATTTCATCACATAAGGATCAAAATAAATAAGTAGCTGGTTATCTCTTCTGCAAAAATGTAACTAGCTTGGCCGAAACAGATACTGCAACATATTATTAACTAAGCACATGTCATGTAGAAAGATTTTTGTTAAGCAGATACAAATGAAAGTACGTCCATCTATAAAACTAATTAAAGATAAAAGTTCTCTTTTCTAATGCCTAGAGAGTATTAACAAGTTTGTCACAAGTAACAAAATCTACGGACTGATATATTCTGCTTGTCAAAAACTGAATCATAAAATAGTGATAACTGGATATTGATAAGAGGTGGGGGGAGATGAATCACCTGTGATGCGAAGATTTGAGGTGAAGAGAGCGAATAGGAAGAGTAGAGAAGGCATGAAGGCAGCCTTCCCAGTCATAATGTCTAAAGATGTCATCACCACTTATCAATCACTTGTTTTGTCTCATCTCTAAATCTCTAACTCTCTCTATTTATAGACAATGGATATGGCTCACCCCTAATATTATTTTAATTACATTCTTCATGTGTATTTAACTTGTAGATCCTTTGAAAAAAATTAGGGTTAACTCAGCACTGTGAAATATTTTATCAAGTGCATCTAGCACTTTCAAGTATTTTGCGCTACATCTAGAATTCTAAAGTATTTTTTTGTGTGCGTCTAGCATTGTAAAATGTTTTTTGGTGTATCTAGCACCTCAATATTTTTTTTAGATGCATCCAACGCCCGAAAATATTTTTTGGTGCATCCAGCACCTAGGTAAAAAAAAAATTTACACTGTTGGATACATCTAAAAAATGCTTTGGGATATTGAATACATTTGAAAAAATATTTTAGGATGCTAAATGTAACTAAAAAATAATTAATTTAATGATTCTTTGGCGGCTGACATCATTTTGTAAGAACATCGTTAGAGGCTTGTGGCTTAATTAAAAGTTAATGCTCGTAATATTTTCTTCCTTCCTTCTTCCTCTCTCTTTCCCATCGTTGGCCGCATTATGCTCTCACGCGGTTCATCTCCACTCGCCTCTCTTTCCACTTCTTTTTCACCTTTCGTTATCAACCATCATGTTAAACTTAAATAATTTAGATTTAATATTTTATAAAATTATTATGTAAAATACTAAATAATAAAGACTCCAAGTTTGATTGGTGAGTCAAGGACATAAACGCCAGAAAACATACTAAATAGTACTCCTCCGGTCCTTAATATAGGATCCAATTGTTGAATTGGTTTTGGTCCTAAATATAAGACCCATTTATCATATTTATCAATTTTCTCTAAATTACCCCTATGGACACTCTCTCAACCATAATCAAGTAGAAGGGGGAGGGGTATTAAGAAAAATGATTATGGTATTTTAGGAAAAATGTGTCACTTTTCTTATAATTAACTAACTTACCTAACTTTCTTAATTTAATTAAATTAGTTAAATGGGTCTTATATTAAGGACCGGAGGAGTATAAAACAAAAAAAGGAATTTTCTTATATGCATGTGTCTAAAGGCTTCGCGGCCAGTTCAATTGGATTGCAACGCATTACGGCAAAGAAAACTCAACAAGTCGGTCCATGATTGTAATGAGAGGGCTTGGAAAAAAACAAATAGCCCACTAGTACTTTGTTATTTTCGATGCATCCGATTAATTTATCTTATCTTATACTTACAAGAATCAAACTAAATTTTAATAATGCCTGCACATATAAGAGTGCTTCACTTTGCACACTCGAGTAAATTTATCTTGACGTGTACTTATCTAGAAGAGAGACGCCATATCCTAACTCTAACTAAGTTCACGAATCCTTCCAATTATTTTATCATACATATATATATATATATATATATATATATATATATGTGGACTTAAATCCACTCACACTTTGAACATCCCAATAATTATGATTCCAAACAAGCATGAACTTACATTACACATTATCTTTTTTTTTTTTTTTCCTTTGGTTGCTTTAAGGATTTCTACATCCATTATGTATATTGAAATTACAAGCAGCCATGAAATTGTTACAGGGCACCGTTGTCAAAAGAGAATGGGATCCTCGTCGTTTTAGCATTAATTTGAATTGGATGTGTAACATACTATATTTAAAAAAATAGTAATAAAATATATGTATAGATAAAATAATATTTTGTTTAAAAAGAACATTTTTTTCCACCGGATTCGGTAGGGGAGGGGGAGTTGTATTAAATGGAAGAAGAATTTGGGGAATATGCAATTAATGAAGTTGAAAAATGAGGAGTATTAATTGAAGAAGGAAGGGGAAGGAGGAGGCAGTTGAATAAAAAGAAATAGGGGGCGCTCTAGGTTGAAGAAAAACAAGAGGGGAGATAAATGCGAGTATGTTAAATATCAGAGAAAGGGAGAGCGGGAGGCAGAAGGAGAGCAAGATGCAAGAAGAGAGAGTGTGAGAGAAGTAGAAGTGTTAGCATTTTGAAAGATAATACAAGCATTGAAGAATATTTAGATACACAAATATACTTCTTTTTATCAAATTTTCTTTGTGAGTATTTTCTATATATTTAAAACTTTATATTTTTAGTATTATTATAATGTTT